CAGGCTGGGCTGGCTCTGACCGAGGTTCTGACCGAGGTTCTGCTCTCACTGCAGGCTGGGCTGGCTCTGACCAAGGCTCTGCTCTCCCTGCAGGAGCTCAGGGAGGCGTCAGAGCGGGATCTGCCCCGAGCTGGACCGAGCAGGAGGCCTTCGTGAGGGAAATGCCAGCTGCCCAGAGAACCTGCCCCACTGGAGGAGGGAGCAGCGCAGTCCTTGGGATCCCCAGGGCTCCTCTGTCCTGCTAAAATACAGCTTGCAGCCCTGGGAAGTGAGCTGGAGGCTTTCCTTGCAGGGGGAAGCGCCCCTGGGACACCTGAGCTGTCAGGAACCTGCTCCGGCTGGCTCACGTGCCAGGCTCCCACCTTCTCCAGGAAACCCAGCGCCGGGCAGGACTGGATCCTGCCACAGCCGGGGGATTCCAGCCTCAAGGACTCCAAATGTCCACAGCTTTCTTCCACTGCACTCTGGGCAGGATCTTCCTTCCCTGGTCCAGGGGCAGGGGACTCCCCCGAGGTTTCCTCATCTGAACGGGAAAGAGAGGCCCGAAGGTGCGAAGGGATCGCCGGGACTCCACGTCCTTCTGCCTTCCCGGTTTTCTCGAGGAACACCCCAGGGGTGGACTGGAAGTTGGGACGAGCCAGGTGCAGGGAGAAGGAGCCCTCAGCTCCCAGGCTGAAGGAAGGGGAGATCTCTGTGACTTTGTGTCCCCTCTCTATGGAGAGCTCGGAGCCGGTCAGCTCATCGCTGCCTGCGGCGGGCTCTGCTCCCCCCGGGCAGTGCCCAGGGCACCCCGAGGTGCTCCCAGCCGTGTCCTGGGGCTGGCTGGGGGGCACAGCCGGCTCCTCTGTGCCCAGCCTCGCTGCTGGCTGGCTCAGGATTGCTGGCAGCAGCTCCTCGGGAGCAGCCGTGAGCCCCCAGCCCCTGGGGCCAGCGGGCAGCTGCAGCCCCCCTTCCTGCCCCGGCCCCTGGCCCGGCTCAGGGGCTGCTGCACAAGGAGCACCCTCAGCTCCCCACCTTCCAGAACGGTCTTTCCTCCAGCCATCAGAGAAATTATTCAACAAACCAAGCTCAGGCACCTTCTTTCCTTTTTCCTGCTTCTCCAGGACTCCACTCCCAAGCACTTTTACCTTTTCCTGCCACGCCCCCCTTTCACTTTTCTCTGAGAATTTGGTCAGTGCAGTTTTATAGGAGGAGTTTCCTGAGGATGAGGATTCCTCCTCCTGCCTTGGGGACTCCTTGTCCCTCTCTGACAGCTCAGAGGCAGCAGCTGGGCCATTGCTGCCCTGGGAGGAGCGTCCAGAGGAGTGTCCAGAGTGTCCAGAGGAGTGTCCAGAGTGTCCAGAGGAGTGCCCAGAGTGTCCAGAGGGGTGTCCAGAGTGTCCAGAGTGTCCAGAGGGGTGTCCAGAGTGTCCAGAGGGGTGTCCAGAGTGCCCAGAGGAGTGTCCAGAGTGCCCAGAGGAGTGTCCAGAGTGCCCAGAGGGGTGTCCAGAGTGTCCAGAGGGGTGTCCATCCTTCCCAGCTGTGCTCCAGGGCTGCTCCAGCCCCTTTCCCAGCCCCTCCTCTGGAGCTGGCTGTGCTGGGTGTCCCCTGCTCCGGGGCCCCGGTGCCTCCTGCTCGGTGCCACCGTCCCCCCTGGCCAGCGGCTCCCCAGACAGGGAGCTTTGGGAAGCGGCTCCGGGATCCGCGTGTCCCACGGCCTGGGAGTGCTGGGATGGACTGGGAAGGGCTGGGCCCCTCAGGGCTGCGCTTCCAGCGATGTGGGAAGGCTCTGAATGCTCCAGGGGTGCTCCAGAAACATCCGGGATTCCTCTGGAAAGGGCAAGAAAAGTGAATTTCTGATCATTTCTCTTATTTCAACATCTCTGGCTTAAATCAGAGGCAAAAGAACTTCAGGTGACAGCTGGGGGTCAGCAATATTCACACAAATACCCATAAATGCATCCCCTAAAGGGGCAAAAGGAACAAAGAAATATCAAAAATCTCCTACAAAATAAAAGCTCAAAAATGATATCACAATAATATCAATTTCTACTTACTATAGCAATATTTTTCCATCTCTTTAGGACTGAAACATTTTTCACTTCACACACTAATAACTGTTACTAGTTAAATAAATTAAATATGCAGTATGTACTTACACATATCTCAGCTTGTCTATGAGTTTTTAATATAAATCACCTGCTCATTATATCATTATATATATCATTATAATAATTATTCTTTTAAAGGATATAAAAGCAGCCAGATCTCAGATAAGCAACAAATTCCTATAAAGCTCTAATACTCATATTGGGGATTGCTTAATTAATAGTTCCTTTATATTAAACATACCATCAAACCCTAATAAATGTTATTCCATGCAAGCAGAGCACCTCGAAATGCAGGTGACAAAGCCTTTTAGTGAAACAGCTCTTTCTTTATGCATTATAATTTGTACTGTAAATTCCACATATTGCTCCAGCATACAGAAACCACAACACTGTCCGTGGACATTTTACTCCTGCAAATACAGAAACCTGATTTGTGTCCCCAAAATTTCATTTTTGAAAGCTCCAGAGATGTTGAAGAGGGTGGAGCTCCTCATTTTCCCGTTTTCCTGGGGTACCTCAGCGTGACAAGCTCAGAAGAGCCCGGTCCCGGTTTTCCCTTGCTCAGACTCTTCCAAAGGCAAAATCCCGAGGTTTTGTCCCTCCACACACACCCAAATCCCAATTTCTGGGCCCAGAAACCCCATCCCACCTCAAGGGAAGGAAATCCATCTGGGATCCCTGCAGGAACGTCTCGGCCCGCGCTGGGCTCAGCAGCAGGGGCAGGCATGGGGAGAAGCGGCTCTCCTGGAGATCTGGGAGAGGGAAAAACACCAGCAGGGCAGTGAGAGCCGGCAGCACAGCCCTGCATTCCCAGAGATCCCAGCCCTGCATTCCCAGAGATCCCAGCCCTGCATTCCCAGAGATCCCAGCCCTGCATTCCCAGAGATCCCAGCCCTGCATTCCCAGAGATCCCATTCCCAAAGATCCCAGCCCCGCATTCCCAGTGATCCCATCCCCACATTCCCAGTGATCCCATTCCCAGTGATCCCATTCCCAGAGATCCCAGTCCCACATTCCCAGCGATCCCAGCTGCAGGGAAGGGGAGGGAATCCCATCCTTTATCCCCTGAGCCTCCTCCCTCCCGGGTTGAGCTGAGCTTTCTCATCCCGTACCAAATCCAGGTCTCAGCCACTGACTCCTGGCACTGCCATCCCAAACAATCCTGAAATTCCTGCTGGGCCATGCCCATCCTGTCCCACCCCACCAGCACCTCCCTCTCATTTCCAGGTGGGATCACACAGGATTCCCTGTGGGATCTACAGGGATTTTATCCCAAAACCTTGTCCTTTACAGAGCCAGGATCCCTCTCATTTCCAGGTGGGATCACACAGGATTCCCTGTGGGATTTACAGGGATTTTATCCCAAAACCTTGTACTTTACAGAGCCAGGATCCCTCTCATTTCCAGGTGGGATCACACAGGATTCCCTGTGGGATTTACAGGGATTTTATCCCAAAACCTTGTACTTTACAGAGCCAGGATCCCTCTCATTTCCAGGTGGGATCACACAGGATTCCCTGTGGGATTTACAGGGATTTTATCCCAAAACCTTGTACTTTACAGAGCCAGGATCCCACTGGTGCTTTCCCTACTCTGTTTTCCAGCTCTGATTCCAGCAAAGGCTGTGTGGAGTTTTTTCCTTCAGGGATCCAAAGCAATAACCAAACCCAGCAGCCAGGGATGAATTGAACAAGCAATTCCAGTTTCTAGCCTGCATTTCTTTGCTCTTTGGGGTATTTGGTGGATTTTTTCCAGTTCATTGTTTATAAAAGCAAATGGAAATGGTTCAAGGCAGGAGAATAAAAGCAGCTCTAATACAGATGGAATTATCTGTGGGGTTTAGACACAACTCTATCTTTGGGAGGGCTCTCCTTTCTTTAAGCTGGTTATGTGATAAATGTAAATAACTACACACATATCTGAGGGGTGCAAAAAATACTCCAAATATTCCAAACAAGCTTTTATTTTCAAAGGGAAAGAGCTATTTGTGGTCAAGGGAGCGACTTCCTAAGCCAGAAATGCCATTTATTGAATTTAGGCTCATGAGTTTCCAATCACTCGGACAAGCCACAGCCTGCACCACCGAGAGGAGAACAAACAAATCAGAGAAATGATCAGCACACACACAGAAATGCAGTTTTCATTCCATCAGCTCCACCCCGAGCATCACCTGACCAGGGGCAGCCAAACACAAGGCAGCCTTGCTTATTAATTTTTAATTTCATCCTTCTAATTAACTTTTTTTTAATTACTTTAGAACTCTGGGTGGTGAGAGAATAATTACCCAGATAGAAATAACTGAATTTACAACACCAAATATGATTAGAATGCTTTTTTTGGAATCTTAGAGAGAGGAAATGAGATGTAGCTTAAAGAAATAGGTGTAAATAATTATTGCTGAGCAATGTGGCAGCAGCAGGAACTGCAGAGGTGCAATCCCGACTGGAAAACACAGCTGGATGGGAAAGTTAATTCTGACACACGTGGAAGTGCAAAAAAGAGAGGAGAAAATGGGAAGGGAAGGGGAAGGGGAAGGGGAAGGGGAGATAAAGAAGATAAATCACTCAGGATATACTCGGGATAACTCACTGGGACACAGCAGCTCCTCAGAGCTCTTCCACCAAAGGGCACAACCAAACCTGGGGCTTTGAGCACCTCTGATGGGGCAGGGATGGGATTGAGACAGGGATGGGATTGGGGCAGGGATGGGATTGGGACAGGGATGGGATTGGGACAGGGATGGGATTGGGACAGGGATGGGATTGGGACAGGGATGGGATTGGGACAGGGATGGGATTGGGACAGGGATGGGATTGGGACAGGGATGGGATTGGGACAGGGATGGGATTGGGACAGGGATGGGATTGGGACAGGGATGGGATTGGGACAGGGATGGGATTGGGACAGGGATGGGATTGGGACAGGGATGGGATTGGGACAGGGATGGGATTGGGACAGGGATGGGATTGGGACAGGGATGGGATTGGGACAGGGATGGGATTGGGACAGGGATGGGATTGGGACAGGGATGGGATTGGGACAGGGATGGGATTGGGACAGGGATGGGATTGGGACAGGGATGGGATTGGGACAGGGATGGGATTGGGACAGGGATGGGATTGGGACAGGGATGGGATTGGGACAGGGATGGGATTGGGACAGGGATGGGATTGGGACAGGGATGGGATTGGGACAGGGATGGGATTGGGACAGGGATGGGATTGGGACAGGGATGGGATTGGGACAGGGATGGGATTGGGACAGGGATGGGATTGGGACAGGGATGGGATTGGGACAGGGATGGGATTGGGACAGGGATGGGATTGGGACAGGGATGGGATTGGGACAGGGATGGGATTGGGACAGGGATGGGATTGGGACAGGGATGGGATTGGGACAGGGATGGGATTGGGACAGGGATGGGATTGGGACAGGGATGGGATTGGGACAGGGATGGGATTGGGACAGGGATGGGATTGGGACAGGGATGGGATTGGGACAGGGATGGGATTGGGACAGGGATGGGATTGGGACAGGGATGGGATTGGGACAGGGATGGGATTGGGACAGGGATGGGATTGGGACAGGGATGGGATTGGGACAGGGATGGGATTGGGACAGGGATGGGATTGGGACAGGGATGGGATTGGGACAGGGATGGGATTGGGACAGGGATGGGATTGGGACAGGGATGGGATTGGGACAGGGATGGGATTGGGACAGGGATGGGATTGGGACAGGGATGGGATTGGGACAGGGATGGGATTGGGACAGGGATGGGATTGGGACAGGGATGGGATTGGGACAGGGATGGGATTGGGACAGGGATGGGATTGGGACAGGGATGGGATTGGGACAGGGATGGGATTGGGACAGGGATGGGATTGGGACAGGGATGGGATTGGGACAGGGATGGGATTGGGACAGGGATGGGATTGGGACAGGGATGGGATTGGGACAGGGATGGGATTGGGACAGGGATGGGATTGGGACAGGGATGGGATTGGGACAGGGATGGGATTGGGACAGGGATGGGATTGGGACAGGGATGGGATTGGGACAGGGATGGGATTGGGACAGGGATGGGATTGGGACAGGGATGGGATTGGGACAGGGATGGGATTGGAGCAGGGATGGGATTGGGACAGGGATGAGACCAGGGCAGGGATGGCACCAGGGCAGGGATGGGATTTAATCAGACTCTGAATCCTGATTTTAAATCAGGAGGAGGCTGGGCTGATTCCCTGTACCTCCCTCACTTTTCTCAAACACTCAGAGAACAGAGAGGTTTGCTCAGGGCTGGGACTGACAGAGCCTGGACTCCACATTCCCAATTCCTGCCCATTAACTGGGAGCCTGGACTCCACATTCCCAATTCCTGCCCATTAACTGGGAGCACACAGGATTTCCAGTGCATTTGGCCTGCTCA